GTTCAGGGCCACATGAATAGAGGTCTTCAGAGGTTGGGGGGGAGCAGTGGAGGTGTGGGGGAGGGGAGTTAGTAAAAAGAGGGTGAGGAGACAGAATAGAAACCAATCGCAGAGGCTTAGCTGGAAACAAACCCTTATCAACTTACTCTAATTGCACTTGACAGCTCTTGAGAAGTTGGACCGAGTTGGTGGGGGGGTTCCCCCCCACCACCACGCTGACAAGAGCCACTAGGCACTTTGTAAACACACAATCTGGGGGTTAGAGCAAGAATTCAGGGATTGTCAAGCCAGAGACAGAGACAGGCAGCAAAGGGAATTGAGAGAGGTATTAATAGAGAGCTGGACTCCCCCTCACCTAGTTGTTTCACAAAAATTTTTATGGGGATGTTTCTGCAGAGAAACACAACTCTACCACGTCTATGTAACCTGCAGCCTTTACTTTTCCTCGGGTTGGAAAAAAAAGTGCTGTTTCAGAAAAATTTTCAAAGTCAATGTACAGAATGTACACAAAATCAAGACAGACTGTCTTTTGGCTTTTAATTTTTCCTCCCTTTCCCTTTGCTCCGGTGTTTTCTCCTCTTTGGGGTACTGTAGGATGTTGTCTTCTCCCCAAAGAGGGAGATCGCTTTTCAATTGTTAACAATGTCAGTAGTTGGACTTTTGGACCATGCTTTTTTCTTCGGCTAATCCAATCACCGGTAAAATCCTCATTCCCTCTAAGGTTTCCTAGCCTTAAATGAAAGCAGTCTGAAGTCGCTAGCCACTGAGAGAGATCCTTCAACACATTTTTTTCTTTCCCGCTTACGCTTCCTCACCCCCGGCTCTATTCTAACACAGTATCAAGAGAGACAAACTCTTCCGAGAGTAATTTACAAACGATGGTCAAACTTACAAACTTCCAGCAAATTGCACCGAGTCATGTCCAGCCACTTTTCTGTCCACTTTTGTACATTCCATCCCCGGCCAGTGGATCTGAGGGTCTGGACTCGCAATAAGCAATGTGGTTCTATCTCTTGTATTGCTCCGCTTTATAGATGGAGAAAAAAAAAAAAAAGTAGCTTGTATTTTCCTTTCTCTTTCCCGTCTGTTGTTAGCCGCTTTGCTGACACTGGCTCCACTGCCCGGAGTCACGGCGATACACAGGCTTTCATTGTGCTCCGATAGGAGAGGGAGAGAAAGAGAGAGAGTGAGACAGAGAGGGAGAAAAGAGAGAGCCAGCAAGCTGCAGATGGGGGCGGGGGGGAGGGGGCGGGCGGGAGAGCTGATCCGCGGCTCCCTGGTGGAAGGCTGGTGCCACTGCACGAGTGAGTAATTGCAGCCAGGCACCGGGGAAAGGGGAACGCAGAGGGCCTCCCAGTGGCTGAAGAGGTAAATCCCAAAGCCCGCGCGTCTCGGTAGGGCTCACTTAGCTCAGCCTGACTTGGCTAAGTGGGGAAGGCTGGGGAAATTCCCCAACCTCCACACAACTACTTCACCAGCTCTAAATGTTTAAGAAATTCCCGGCCAGGGAATGTATTTTCCCTTTCAGACCTACATTACGCCCCCCTGAGGATATCGTTTTCATTTTTCAATATGTTGTAAATGACACCACTGAGCACCCTAGTGAGAGCTGGGTGAGTACCGAGGAAATGTTCATTAGTATAATAAGGAAGACATGTGAGTGTGTGCGGGTTGGGAGAGGGAGGAGGGAGGGGTGCAGAGGAAATCACACCGCTAGCTCCACAGGGGCAGGCGTGTGTTTGTCTACCTGCCTGCCTGTTTTGTGTGTCTCTGGGTAAGTCAACCTGGGTGATTACAAGTAAACCAGTAGGGAGAAATAAAATATTTTAGGATGATGAAATCACCAATACCAGTTCTAGGGGGAAAAAAAAAAACAATAAAAGGTTTTCTTTGAAAATACAAGGTGACCTCTGACAACTGCAAGATCTGAGATCTCCATGGCTGTCTGGTTTACATATACAAAGAGGAAAATCAATATGCAGCAGTGGAGTTTCAAGAAGTTTAGTAACATGAACCAAATACATCTCTTACACAGACCGTTGTCCCCTCATCTCCGTGTGATCCTGCCTTTAAGTTCTCAAAAGTGTATATTGGATTCTGCTTGTCATTATCAGCTATGAGAATAAATTCAAGTGAGCACAATATTGGGCTACTCAGGACCATAAAAACATGCTGTGTGTCCTAACTTGGAAGTCGTTCGAATTTGAGGTCTCGAGCAATGGGACTTCATTAATCTAAACCAACTCTCACATCTCAGGAACATGTTCCAGCTCCAAACTGAGCTATGGATAGAAATGAATAGGTAACATCAATGCAATCATTTTTAAGAATGGATTATTTACAGTTTAGTTCCCACCAGGCTGGCCTACTTTAGTCCATTTTATTTTCACAAATTCTGGAATGTTTGCTGGAACTGGGGACAAGTATACTCTGATGGAATATAACTTTTTTTTTCTTTTCATTGGAATATACTTCTATCTGTCCCTTCTAAGGCCAGGTTCCTCATTACTTGTGAAGAGATAGGCAGAGATATATTTTTGTTAGGAGTGCAAATTTGATGGAGCACTCTCTCATGAGGTGTCATTAAAAATCGAAGGAGTTTTGATCGTTTTATATTTGATTTCTAAAAAGCTGTATTCATTAGACATTATCTTCTATTGCTATGGGTACTTTATATTCAGCAATGATACTTGATAAAAGAGAAAATGTAATATTTAAATTTAAAATGTACGGTTCACTTGACAGTCATGCAGTAGCATTGATTTTCATTAGTAAGTAACACAGAGTCCTTAGTCAAATCTGCTATTCCTTACTGATATAAACTTTGATTTCCATGCTGGACAGGGACAGAAATTAAAAACTTGCCAAGCAAGAATTTAATAGATTTTCATACTGTATTCAGTGGTGTAAGTCACTTTTTTTGGAGTGTCTTTTGTATACATTTGTCCTTCACAGCCATTTAATTTCAAGCTGAAATCATTATCATGCACATCCTCCATTTCCATTCACATCAGTCACTGTTTATTTACAATCACTGTCTCAGACACAGCACTTCACACAGATCTCCCTTAATCCACAAACAAACTTGGAAGGTAAGTATTATTAACCTCATGTATAAATGAGGAAACTGAGGATCACAGAAATCAAACTACTCGTTTCGGTTCATGTGATTTAGAGATCACAGCGCAGGACTCTAGTTCAAGGCTGATTTCAAACCTATGCTTTTTTAACCACTGGGCTTTGTGCCTCAACGTAGCAGACAGAGCTGCAGTCACACTCTACTCACCTTGCTAGAGTCCAAGCCAGTCCTATAATCCTTTCGAGAAATGAGGATTGAATACAACTATTCATCTCAGTACAAGAGCAGACAAGTGAGAAAACACGGTCAACTACATCAAACTGCCAATAAAGTATTTATTTTTCCCCCTGTTTATGGTACTGTTCTCTCTTAAAACCCTAACGCTTCTGTGTAGCAAATATGAATTCTTTCAAGTATTACTTTCCTTTACTTGTCCGTTTCTGTCTTCCTCATCATCTCAACTAACCATGTCTGCCTAACACTAAAGCACCTAACGCTACAGTAATAAATGCCCAGATCTAAAAAGTTCACAGACATGTGGGATTTTAAGTGTATAAACTATTTTTTAGTGTTATGTCAAATCGATGATATAGATGGTTATGATGAGATGATACCATAATTATGTCCTAACACCTGTAAAGGTTATTTCAGTTTTTTCAACATTTTCAGCATTTTTTTATGGACTACTTGCTTTTGTCTCCCTAATCCATGCTCGTCCTCATTTCCTAACAGCCTGTCCCTCTGCCATTCTTTTAGTGTTACCATAGACCTAAGAGCTTCTTGTATTCTTCAGACACCCACTGAAGAAGCATGCTCATTTGCAGTAGCCTCAGACATTAGCAAAGCTACTTCTTACATTTCCTGATCGACAGTCACAATGCTGTTCCAACAGGGAAAACTCTTCCCGCCAACAAGATGCCTTGCCTAGGAACGGGGTCAGCTGCCCTCTTGAGTCCCTCTAATCAATGATGTCTTAATTTTTACAAGTTAAACAATGGTACTTAAATGATACATAAATTAATTTTTAAAACTCTACCGGTGGAAGGAACGCTCACTCTTCAGCGGTCTCAAACTTGTCTGTAGTGTCACATATGAGAAGTGATGCTTCCAGGGTCATTAGAGACACTTCACAGAGAATTCTCTCATTTTCCTTGGCCTTCCTTTTTACCAGTCATTCACGATCCTTCCAACTTGACTATTACTTTTCCTCCAATTCTGCCTTGCTTCTTTCTGGGCACTGTCACTGCATCTTCAACTTTCAACTGTGGCCTCATTTTAGTTAAGGATTATTTCCGTATGCCAGAGAAGTAAGAATTGAGATATGTGACTGAAATATCTATTTCACTTTTTTTTTTTTTAATTTTTTAACGTTTATTTATTTTTGGGACAGAGAGAGACAGAGCATGAACGGGGGAGGGGCAGAGAGAGAAGGAGACACAGAATCGGAAACAGGCTCCAGGCTCTGAGCCATCAGCCCAGAGCCTGACGCGGGGCTCGAACTCACGGACAGCGAGACCGTGACCTGGCTGAAGTCGGACGCTCAACCGACTGCGCCACCCAGGCGCCCCAATTTCACCCTTTTCAAAAAGGTGTGCACTCCTCACATGAAACATCAGCATCAGTATTCTCAGCACTTTGTGAGCTTTTTCTATTAGTTTTGCTTACAATAACAATAGGGATACTTTCAGAGAATTCACTGCAGAAAATATTAAGTAATCTCTCTATGTAAGGACTTAATACGATGTAGTTTTTTTAGCGTATGCACATACCCTGAACTCCATGCATGAGCCACATAGTAAATGAAGCCAGGTTTAGTCAACACTTGAGGAGGTCAGAAACAAGTATCTAAAATTCCACATTAACATAGATCCTACTGTGACACTACTTTTAAGAATTAAAGATACAGAATAGACAGGGTCCGTTTGATCACTATGAAACCATTTTACTTTATTATATTATGAGAAAATTTAAATGTGCAAAGCAATGCAGATGCCAAAATATGCTTTTAAACTATTTTTGGCTGAATTTGTCTCTCTGAGATCTTCAGATCCTAACATAAATACATATATGGGAAAAGTTATGGATAAAAATAAATAAAATACATCTTAATCATTAGCATGTAGACAAAATCGAATAAAAAATATAAAGAACATTATGAAGCATGAAAAAACACACCATGAAATTATTCCTGAATGTGAGGGTTGAAAGACTCTGGCGGCCTGAGATCTATTTCCAAAGGAGACTTTAGAAAAGGAGAAAAGCGTTCCTTTACTTGGAATGGGTAAACTATAGTCTGCTTCTGAGGTGAGGGGATTGAACTGAATGAAACATTGGGTTTCTTCCATGGCCCTCTGGTGTAGATAATGATAGCAGTGAACAATATATCAGTGCAGATCATTTAATACTGGAAAGGATAATCAACAGATCTGGGCAGGGATTCAATAATAAATACACGTAGGTGTTGATCTAAATTCATTTTTAAAATACAGTATTTGTCTACTAAGGTGACAGAACATGAACAGCTCATTCACTTGATGATCATCTGTTATAAAGGCATTGTTTTGTAACTTTAAAATACACTTACTTAAAAATTATTAGGCTTATGTTTTCTATGTACAGCAGATAAAACTTTTATTCAACTGTGAGTGCCATTTCATGGAAATTAAGATGAACATATGTTTTAAACAAGATATTTGCCATGAAAATACACATAAAATTTATAAAAACGTCACATGATACAGAGAAACAAGACTCATGATCTTCACATTTACAGGAATTTATAAAATCTTCTCTGAAGGAAATGTGTTACAATTCAGTCAAACTTCTCATCTTGAAAGTAATCCGCCAAATTTAGATATTCTTGAAGTTGACCATATTTCTGTGTATACAATAAAAAAGCTAGTTATTTTACTCAAAGCAAAGAAGATAAGGTAGGCCTTTTCAATCTACAGAGACAAACAGGAACATGTTCATTTCATGATAATCACGAGCAAAAATCTCATTATAAACAGGGACACAATTGCAAATAAGCATTTCTAACTCATAAAGGAGCGGAAAGAGATCAAACCGAACATTATTATTGATCTCATAATGTTCTTATAAAATATAATTTTTCTATTATCATATTTATAGAAGTATAACAACTTCAATAACTTACTCAACAAGAATTGTTTGAACACATAACATATATTGAATACTTTCTCATGACTGTCTAGGTACAAAAATAATCTCTTTCCCTGATCCTAAACAGACCAGAGTTCACTGGGAGTACACCAATACTATGTGTACAATACAACACCAGTACATGGCACTGGTGCTATGACAAAGTATATAGACACTGTTAGGAAGGCTCAGAAGAGTAGCCATGGTTAGTTGAAGTGATCGGGAAAGAGAATCACTTGAGCTGTCCTGGGAAAAAGGATTCGATAGGCAAAGATTTGCTGGGGAGAGTTTTCTGCAGCAGACAACAGCCCATGCAACGGTGAGAAGACAAGATTTTATGGAATTTAACTATAATTTGAGGTTTTGTAGGGGAACAGAAAGAGAAGACTGAACCAAAGAGTTTGTGGTCAGAGAATAAAATGTATGAAATGCTAGCTGAAGGAGTTTAGCAATAATGTGACAGGCAATGTGACCCTGCTAAAGGTTATACGGTAGGAGATTGACCTGATCTGACATGTGTTTTAAGAAAAATGGTAAAACACTATTCTAGAATAGTATAGCAATTAGTTACTAGTGTCTTGTAATAAGTTAGGTAATGAGGTCCCAAATTCCAGTGATAGCAATGAAGATGAAGAGCTAAGACCCAGGGTGGGGCAAGATAAGAGAGGGGTCAGGATGATTTAGAAATCTCACAATCAATAGCGTTCAAAATACTGACTTCAATTGAGGAGAATTAACTGACCTAATGGTTTCTTATGAACTCTGGTTCCATTCCCAATGAAGAGAGAGAGGATCCCGATGACCTGACTTTTGTGGTGGTAGGAAACTATGGAAAGATAAAGAAGTGTGTTTTCCTTCTAGAAAGGGCTAGGAAACCTTTTCCCCCTCAAGACCTCTGACTGGATCACCTTCTCTGGAAAGAATGAAGAAAAGAACGGGGTGGGGGGGGGCGGGGAGGTTGGAAATAACCTTTGGACTACAAGATTCTCTTGACCTAGTATTCAGGTAGGTTCTATTAGATAGGAGTAAAGTATTCTAGAATTAGAAACCTGTACATTAAAAGTTTGATTGTTTTTATGCTTTTTATATTATCTTCATATATTTTTTCTCTTATTAAATTTCTTTTGGAAAATTGCAATCCCAGCCATACTGCGTGAAGGAGGGAAAACTTCTTGCTTTTATTACTAATAATAGTTGACATTAATTGATCACTTACTAATTGTTAGGTCCAATACTAAATGCTTAAAATGTGTTGATCTTTTAATATCCACGATCAAAACTCTTTGTTGTTTTAATTCCTATTTTAGTGAAGAGGCAACTTAGAGAAATAAAGTAACTTGCCTCCAAATTCTACTGCTGGAAAATATTTAAATCCATGATTTTAATCATTATAGTATGCGATTTCTGAGATTTAAAGGTTGGGGGGGGGGTGTGGCTTTAGTTAGAAAAAAGAAAGCCTTCCTATAGCAAAGTAAAATTCAGAGAGAAGACAGTATTGCCTGGCTGTTCTCTCCACCTAAAGATTCTGGTTCCACCATTCTTTTTTACTAAAAATTTGGAGAGTTTGGATCTTATTATATTAACCCCTTTGAGGTGCCAGATTGACCTACTGATTAAAACATGTGAACTGTGGAATGGAGTGTGAGAAAGAGATCAGAACATAAAAGGAGGAGGTTGGGATCTTCTGGTCAGAAACACCAGTTAGACATGAAGAAAGGAATAGGTTTGCCAAGTCGGAGAACTTATAGGGGCCGAGAATGGAACATGGAACAACACGTACTTTTTCTTTTTTTAAAGGTTTATTTATTTGTGAGAGAGAGATAGAGTGTGAGCGGAGGACTGATGGGCAGAGAGGAGGGGAACAGAGGATCCAAAGCTGGCTCCATGCTGACAGCAGTGAGCCCCATGCAGGGCTTGAACTAACAGACTACCACCGTGAGATCATGACCTGAGTCAAATTCGGATGCTCAACTGACTGAGCCACCCAGGTGCCCTGCAACAAGTACCTTTAACTAGCGGCCCTCAATCTTTGATTTGCTTAAGAATCACCTAACTTGTTAAATACTGGGTGTTTAACACCCTCAAGGAGTCTCATTCAGTAGTTCTGCAGGGAGGCCAGGAACTACACATTTTCTACAAACTTCTAGGTGATTCTGATATAGGTAGTTAGGGCCTTGATTTGAGAAACACCAGTTTAAGGAGAGAAAGAAAAGAACAGGAAACAAGTTTAAAAGGGGGGAAAGAGAAGAGACCACATAAGAAGAGTTTCAGGAAGGGGTGAGATATCAAATCGTTATTTAAAATTCTTTGTTATGTAACAATCTTTATGTAAAAAATTTAAACTTTTCATACCACAAAACTGAGACTTGATAGTATTATTGAAATACATTCTCCCCTTTCCTGATGTTCCTGTTTTCACCACCCTATCCCAACAACCCTATCTTCAACTTCTCTGGAAACCCCATCATCACGTGCACTTTCTTCTTAATGAGAAACATTTGTTAGAATTTTGCCAGTGGCATATGACAGAATGTCCTTCAAGTGTAATTTGGAATCAATTACTTTTATTATATTTATTATATGTTTTGGTTTTATTATAATTTTCTTATGCATCTTTTTCTTTTTTTTTCCCCCTTTTTTTAAGTAATCTTCACACGCAGTGCAGAGCCTGATGTGGGGCTTGAACTCAAAACCATGAGATCAAGACCTGAGCCTTAAGATCCAGAGTCAGATGCTTAACTGACTAAGCCATCCAGGTGCTCCCCATTCATTATTTTCTTCACACTCAGGTTCCTCCTACCCTTTAATGTCATCCTAGATTAAAAACAGGTCATCTTAGTTCAACTGGTAGGAGGAGGAACAAGAAGTCAGTCTAGTTGGCAGGTCTTTGGGAAGAAATGCAGAAATATCCTGAGGTGGAGGAGGAAGGGGCAGATAAGGAAAAAGCAAGGTGTGCAATGTGAGCTGGGAGGAAAGACAGACCAAATCGTTTGTGTGAAGTGAAAGAAGGGGTTGACATAATCAGTGGGAGGTAAGAGCAAAAAGAGCCACAGATCTGGCCATTCAAGTAGCGCTGAGCCCTGGCATTGGAAAGGGTGCGGGTGGCTGGGGCCATAGGAGCGCAGCCAAAGAGAAAGGCATGTGTCATGAGCAATGCAGTGCGGCCGTGCCGCGCGGGACACGCGCACTCCCAGGGGTAGGTGGGGTGGTGCTGAGAAACATCAGAGTGCTTGAGGAGCTCTGAAAGGTAATCACAGCACAAAATGCTGCGTATGGGTTTATATCGGCTCTAAACTGTAGTTTCTAGGAAATCTTTTGAGAAAACGTGTGGACAAATATTTTTAAAGAAGGAGGGATCTCGGAAAGAAAATGAAGCTCTGTGGTATTTTATGTGAAAAACAAAATGTGCATGTTGTCCTAAACATGCATGATCTTGAAATACCTTAAATGCCCAATGCTAAGTGTTTTTCTTTAAGCATGAGAGGACACTTGGGTTTTCTCTTCCCAAGAATATTTTTTTTCTTATTCCAGGTCCCTTCTGTTAGAAACCTTGTTAAGCTTTCTCTAAGGTACATGATCTGGAAATGCTTTTGGTTTATTCTCTGCCAGAAATTTAATGTTCTTCCCCACATATACTATTATTATATATAATATATATAATACATGCATAGTGATTTTTCTACACCTGGCACACAATTCTTTAAAAAATGTGGTGTCCCAAAAGGTTTTTCAACTCCATGAGAGCGTTGGCAACACTTAAATGCACCAGTGAAAGCACGTAAGAATTTCAGGTCATCATGGAAAATGAAGATGGGACTTACTGGCTAAGTGGTGGCTTCTCCCTAAGGCAAACTGAAAAGCACAGAGGAGGACAGGGAGGAAAGCACTGGGAGAGAAGCTGAAGCAAAGTAAAAGATAAAAAGCTGAGGAGAGTAAAATGAGAGAAAAGACTACAGAAGGGTCAAGATGTGGGGGGCAGGCAGAGAGATCCACTGGGTGGTGTGGCTGTGATGGGAAGATAATCCTCAGAAGGGAAACCAGTCTTGATGTCACTCTCCAGACTGGGACACCTCTGCAGAATATGACGTGTCCTAACAAGTTCCTGTTTGTTGTTCTCTTTTTCTTTCCCTTTGCTCATAAGTTTATTCACTAAGCTCTCATCTTTTTTATTTTCCTCTTTTACAAATTCCCCTATGATATAAATAACCCAGGCAACAGATCTCAAGGCAGGCTTTTTTTTTTTTTTTTTTTTTAAGATTAAATATACTGTTGATCTGAGTTGCCTGAAAATCTGCTATATGTTTTCTCTTATACGTTCACGTAACTACACTTGTTTTAGAAGACTGCAACCATAATAGCATTCTTTCCAAGTACCATAAACAATTCTAAAAGCTCTGTGAGCAGACCAGAGCTTCTGAGCTGCCAGCAGATCTTCAGGAATCCAGTGCACTCTTCAAAACCCCCACTTTATCCCTGATATCAAACTTAGTGATCAGCAGGATTTGGGGGAATCAAAATCAGTGCCGTGGCCTGAAACCTCTGCATTCCCCTTGATCTTCAGTTACAGTGCTCACTGCTCAGCCCATGTCCTCAAGAAGAGGATGTGGGTGGTATTAGAACTGGCAGCCGAGATCCTTTCCTCAGATTGGCACCAGGTGTTTCTTCACTCTCGGGTCACAAGAACTGTTCTAAAGAATAGGAAGCAGACAAGCAGAGGTGAGTCCTACACTTCGTCAAAGAAAATACAGGGACTTAATATATATGTAAGGGATACCATATATATAAAAGTGAAAGGACAGAGGGCCTTCATTACAGGACAGTATTATCGCTGATTTCAATTTATCTGATGCGCTGAAGGAATGCTTAGATCATCAGGGCACCTGTTCAGGGTTGGACAATGATAAGCATGAAAGGAATGGGTGGAAGAAGAGAAAATACAAAGACGGGGGGAAAGGAGAGATTCTCTTTTAAATTTCACTGTCTTCTAATCATTTGCATCATTTTGCTGATCATAATTAGGCTCCAGAATCTATGAATGCAATGATTCTTCTATCTTCACCTTACCTCCTTAATCCAGCCACTTTCTTTTGACTGATTGAAAATTCTTTCCACTGTTTCTTTAACCTGTTCATCCTCAACTTCTTCTGTCTTTGCAATGGAGCAGCATTCCTGGTACAGCTTGAACTTAAAATGTTTCAGTTTGTGATAAATTCTGGTACGATCAGCACAAATTCTGCCAACAGTAAACACCTAAATCAAGGAGTAAACATTATTACCTGACATATGAAGTCAAACATATAGTAATGATTACACAGCCTTTCTAGTTTTGAGATTTTTCTTTAACAGCAAAATTTAATAAATGCATTATTAATTTTCAAAATGTTTGTACAATGATTCACTCACCTTCTCTTATACAACTTAGTTAAGAAAAACTGAACATCTGCTATGTTTTTTCAAGTATTGGGCTAAGCACCGGACATGCATTTGATTACAAAACGATGTGTCAAATGCTGTGCAAGAGATGCTACCGAGGTACAAAGGAGGGACAATTAACCCAATCCAGAGAGGAGAGGGGTCCTCGAGTAGGTGATGCTTGAACTAAGTCTTTAAAAACCAGAGCTAGGCAAGTTTGAGGAGAAAAATGGCTTGTTAAGGCAGAAGAACAGGCACACCCAAAGCAAGAAAATAGACCCCACGGACACAGTTACTGAACTAGAAATACCTGGATTAGACTAATGTTCTAGCTTAAAAGCAACATGCAAAACTGAAACAAACTCTCAAACCAATTGGCGGTTTTTCACTAAATAATTTGCTCCAAAGCATTTTGTAAAGTAAAAACTTTGTGTTTAGTCCTATTTCGTTCCTTAATTAGTGACTCTGATGTGATTGTAACACATTAATGTTTTACTGTTAGCAAAATATAAGAATTTTAACTTCTATGTGTATATGGACTTCCAGGATTCCGTGATTAAGAATACTCTTCTTGTGAATCAACCAACCAGAGCATTTCCCGTTCAGAACGTTTGGAATGTGTACCGTTATACACACTGAAAACTGAAATAGGAAAACTACAAAATAACATTATAACTAAAAACATTATTACATGATCAATCTCATTCTCGTGAAGCAACCAGAGGACAGAGACAAATTCCCTGTTAAGTTATGTATTTGTCTCTGTGCCTAAATTCACTAGTGGGTTGTGTTTTCATGAGTTTAGTACAAGTGGCATAGTTACAATATTGATGTGTGTAACTTGTGTTCCATCTAACAAAGAATTGTAGTGTTTTCCTGAAGTCACCCTGCAAGGGATCATGCAGGTGATTAGTTAAATAAATAACCTGAGTACATTGGCAAAAAATAGTAATAAAATAAAGAATAGTTTGTCAAAACTGAATGAAAGTTAAATATGATCAGCAACGGGTTTGATGCATATCTTGTGAAAATGGTATTTGGGACATCTTACAGTCTTCCTTAAAATCCTCAAAAATTCCAGAAAACCATGTTAAGATTTCTGTTCAAGTTCCATGAAAACCTTTCTGTTTTTTGTATTATTAGAAATAATCACAAGGGCACCTGGGTGGCTCAGGCAGTTAAGCATCTGACTCTTGATTCCAGTTCATCATGATCTCACGGTTTGTGAGTTTGAGCCCTGTGCTGCTTGGGATCCTCTCTCTCCCCTCTCTCTTTCTGCCTCTCCACTGCTCATGGTCTTTCTCTCTCTCTCAAAATAACTTAAAAAAAATAAACAATCACATATGGTTTGTTCATTGCTTGCCTACTCTCAGTAACCTTCTCATCTCAACATTATCATCAAACAAGTCATATCAACCAACACAACTCCCTGGCCAATATGTCCTTTTATACTTTGAGTAAAAAAGATACCACAATAGTTTCAGTGGCCACTACAGGTGCCCTATGTCTCTCCATTTCTGTTATCAAAGTAGATTATGTGGCTGAAGTCTCCTATGGCCATTCTGGATATAATACAGTAGAAAAATAATATAATTTTTAAAAAACTTTCCACCATACTGTATTTTATATTTCCATAAAACTGAGGAATTTATCTGCATAAAAATTTTAAGTTAGGGCAAGAGGGAGGGAGGAGGTATTTAAACACCCTTATTTAAAAATCTTTTACCTGTGTGAAACAAAAATATCCACTGAAAATATTTAACATTATAGTTTACTTCTTTCCATTTCAAATTCCTGCCTTCTTGGCAGCTACTTACACTTATGTAGATCAATAACCCAAAACTACCTTTAGAATATTCTCACACTATGTGATCATAAAATGTGATCACATTTTCTGTGGAAGAGCCTAAACCATTGTTAGTAGGAGTTCACAGGAAAGAGTAAATGCATGTAATAGCTGTAAGAATGCAAGTAGACCTCTCCCTTCACCCCACCTGTTTTTAGTGTATTGTCACAGCCTATTATACCTTATGAATTTCTGTGTACATTGTACACAGTTTACACTGTCGGATTCCATTTATATAAAGTACTAAGATAAAACTCTGCTGTAAGAACAGTGACCTTAAATGTTGAGAAACATATTTAGAGATTACTTTTAACTATCTAGTTGCATTTCTGGATATTAAGGACACTATTCTAACAAGATAGACAATACTAAAAAAAATTGCCAGAGATAGAGAAATAAGTTCTGTGATGATTGTTCTCAATGAAGACAAGCAAAATGACATGTAAATGGTTACTAATCCACTGTTCAGGGTTAGTTAGCATGGTTCTATAAACTGATGTATCTGAAAATAACTGATTCACCTCAGTTATCAATGTGAGTTAAGGGATCCTATGTATCCAAAGATACAATTTGAAACAGCTAAAACCTGTCACCAAATTTTCCTAAGACAGCAGATGGTGAATTGTAAGGCAGTAGAAAGAATCTGATTTGTAATTTATTAGATACAGCATGTAGAAGTGTAAACACACTGGTTAACAAACTAAGGCAAGGATACAATGAAACATGCATTATGCACATTTGTAATATCCAGCTAATTATAGGGAGATTTTTGAGGTATTTCTCTCGGCCCTCCTTAATATACAGAGGAGCCAGGTCCTTATGGAAGTGAAAGTATGAAGAAGAAAGTAAAAAGATCCTCAAGAAAAGAGGAAGAACGGGAAGAAGTTTCTCTTTTGTTTCTAGGTCTCTAGAAACAATTAGTGCAATAGACTGAGCCAAAGGATTCTATTTCCTTTTGGTCCGTTTTTTTCATGGACATGTTACACACTGACACTTATTTCAAAATTCCTGCCTCTCCCTTTGGATCTTGAGTATCTTCAGGAGTCTGGACAGATTCTGGGCAAACTCAAATGAATTCAAGATTACAGTCGGTCCTCCCAACTGCCTCTCAGATTTCGCCCTTTTTCTTCACGTGATTTCCTTTTCGTCTATACCCCCAGACTTCACCACAATTTGGTGGGCCAAGGCCTTTTGTCTCAGTACCCTATCCAAGACTACTGTAACTAAAATTACTCTTTCCCACCAATTCCACTTTCCATCAAAACATCCTGTCTTTCAAAGAAGCTAATCTTAGGTAAGTAAGGAGAAAAGTTTTATTATTAAACATATTCATTAAATGTATCCTTCATTATTGGCACCTTAAAAGAGGACCCTAGTTAACCCCAACCAGTCTCAATTTTATATAACTATGGGCAAAAACACAAAATGGAGAATTGGTTTTCAAAATAATTTAAGGGTGGGTCTGGGGATGGCATAGTCTCTTTAATGCCTTAGATGAAAAACAAGTTTATTATTTTCTTCCTTCCTATCCCTTTCCTTTCCCTTTCCTTTCCATATACATGCATTGCTGCTGTAGTTCAGTAGAATATAAAATAGATTTTAATAGGTGCTTCTTCCATGTAAAGAAAAAAATTACTGAAAATTTTAGTATTAAAGAATTTTAATTATGGGGGTGTCTGAGTGGTTCGGTCAGTTAAGCATCCAACTTTGGCTCAGGTCATGATCTCACGGTCTGTGAATTCAACCTGGAGCCTGCTTGGGATTCTGTGTCTCCCTTTCTCTCTGCCCCTCCCCCACTCGTGTTCTGTCTCTCTCTTTCTCAAAAATAAACATTGAAAAAAGAATTTTAATTACATTATCTTAAATTATACAATAACTAGTTTAATGTTTGCATACAGCTAAACAGACAAGTGTATACATATTTTTACATAGCTTCAAGGACAGTAATGTACACTGCTCACTATTTCACTTTCACCTAGCACGATTTCACAACCTTCATAAATATTATTTTAGTGCTTGTATCATATTCTGTCACAAAATGGTATGATATACATAACTTATTAAATTACTACTCTAATATTTGATTTGAATTATATCCAAATTTGTTTTGTATTATAACTAATGCTTCAGTGAACTTCATGATTGTGTCCTCTGCTTTTATACTGGATGACTCTGCTTAGCATAAACATGTGGGCACTGAATATGTATAGTGTTATAACTCTGGCTATAGGTAGCTATCCAGTGTTCTAAAAAGATAGATCACATCCTTGCTCTTTGTAGGAATCTTACTGTCCATGAAACTGCCAGTTTCGATGTAACCATGACAGAACTGTATTTTATCATCTGATTTAAAAATACTTTGCTACTTTGAGAGCTATCAACTGGCATCTTAAGATAGGTTTTACTGTATGCCTTTAGATGGAGAATAATCATGTTCTAATTGTTAACTTTGATGTTTCTTCCATTGTGTGACTGGTGTATTAATTTTCTTTGTTTTTATTTTATGAGATCTCTCTTACTTTTTAGATATTTGAATAACTATTTTATACAGAATCTTTACTCTTTCACAGGAATATCAGAACTCCAGAAATGGTTTTCTAACTCACTTTCCTTCCTAGAATTAGCTGTAGACAGGGAAGACAGTGAAAGTACAGCACTAGTTTTGATCTATACAACAGAACATGATCCTTAGAGTATCAAATCACTTTCATTAGGATTCTACATGTCTTACCTCATAAAAAGCCACAGATCAGTTTTTAAACAATGAGATTTGCGTATTGACTGTGTTGAGAAAAGAAATGTTTTTATAGTAACCTGCCAAATGATACGTTAAAGACTAAGTCTGAATTCATTATCCCCACACAAACTTTCTAAGTGATTCTTGCAACCTGGATTATTTAGAGGGATCTGCTCAATTATCGCCAATAGTACTGAGGAATAATACTACCTAATGTAGTAGAAGAATTTAGATTAACAGTATATTTCTATCATAATAACTGACTGGCAGTACTTAGAGGCAACTCTAAGGGCCCCCCAAACACACACACCCTTCATAGATATACAGACTCACCAGAGGAAGCTCTCATCATTAATATTTTTGCATTTATAAACTTGTCATATAAGACATTTTTCACATTCAAAATTATACCTTCTTTCCTTATACTCTTTCCCTCTGTCCTAGTGCTTTCTCCATTTGTAAAAATAACAGGGTTATTTGTGTAAGCTTACGTATTGAAAATTTCTAAATACTGAAAACCAAAATGAGAGGGAAAAATACCTGTTTATCATGTGACATGAAATCGTCTGTTTCCATAGTCCTGGTGTTATACAACTTTCCTGATAAATGCACCGAGTATCTGCAGTGGCGATGCAATCCACAAGCTTGACAGCAACAATTTTCAGGATTCTTCAAATGGATACTTACATTAGAATAATTTTCTACCCGCTCCTGAAAACAATGAAAAAATGTAATGAAGCTTTACAAGACTGGAAAAAACAACAAAATAAAACATAAAAAGAACCTAACCAAATTAAAACCAATATTAGGAATCACAGTAAGTGGTTAGGATGTAAGAGCAAAACACACTGATATTTCTTATTTTTATGCAGAATATGGGGTATTTGACAAGATATTTTTAAATAAAAAAATAACATAATTTAGGCTATTAAATGAAAAGAAACCAGACTAGGAAAAAAAATTAGTTTCATATCCTTCCCATTTGTGCGTTACTATTAAGTAGTATTCTTCGCAGATACTAATTTACTTTTCTCCTCTCATCTCTAGTTAGGTATGAGGTATTATAGTTAAAAATAGAAAAGACTGAGCAGCAAAAATTCAGGATACTACAATAAAAAGATGAATTCATTTAGGTTAGTTGAAAATTGAGAAAAACCAGATCACAGTCTCCATTGTGTAAATTATAGCATATTTCCCACAAAATATTCCAGAAATAATTTAATTTCTTGTTTTTTTAATGTTTATTTATTTTTGAGAGAGAGAAAGAGAGAGACAGACAGACAGACAGAGCATGAGCAGGGGAGGAGCAGAGTGTGAGGGAGACACAGAATCTGAAGCAGGCTCCAGGCTCTGTCAGCAGAGAGTCCAACAAGGGGCTCAAACCCACGAACTGTGAGATCATGACCTGAGCTGAAGTCGGACGCGTAACCGACTGAGCCACCCAGGTATCCCCGGAAATACTTTAATCCTCCTAATGGCTACTTACTAAATAAAGTACTATGAAAATAAACAAGTTGGTCATAAAACTGCTAGGTGGCCAGTATTGATATAGACAGCCTAATAGCTGAATTAGCAATGAGTTAACAAACTGAGGAAATATTTGGCATTTGTAAACTTGTGGTTGCATATTTTTGCCCACACTCTATGCCTGTGCTAGATACTGCTGTTATCATTAGTAGTGTAGATTAGGTTTTACCATAATGTTTGAACTACATACAGTGAACATATTAGCAGGTTACTAACCTATATTTGTATTCTCTACCAGCTTGAGAGTAAATATCCAGTATAGTAATAGTTTCCTTTCTAACACTGTATGATTCACAACAACATTGAATTTTCTTTACTTTTAATATTTCTCATATTTCATGGCCCTTTGTGTGACATGTGTCACTTACAGGCTGACATTCTGAGGGAACAGGTGGCTAGCCACCTCCCCTTCTTGCTTCTCTGGTCCTTATGGAAGCATATTTGAGATGAAAGCTCTAGCAGCTTGGCTCTGTGAGTGACTACAATATGTAGGAACACTCCTGCTGGTTTACACGGGACATATAACTGAAAAATAAACTTTTCTGGGGTAAGCTATAAAGATTTTCATTGCTGGTATGTCCTATTATTTATTTTTTGCAGCATAACTTAGCTAATTTTGACCAAGACCATACTGAATCATCTATGTCTCTACATTTTTAAGTTAATATTTTCTTATATCTTAGAGTTATTATTTCAACATTGGGTTATCCGAATTCAGCATAACATACCACAGTATAGTAAAGCATAATATAGCATAGTGGTATGGGCTCTCAAGTCAGAGAAATATTAGAAAGCTATGATTTCTAGGTTTGAACACTGGCCTAGCTAATAACTAGCTCTATAGCCTTGTGTTACTCAATTTTTCTGAGTCACGGTTTTCTCTTCTTTAAAATGGAGGAAATAATAGTGCCTTCCTCATGGGGTTGCTCTGAAGATCAAATAAGATACTTTACACTGCATGCAAATTACTTGGCCAAGTTAAATGATCAATAAATATATGCTATTTTTCTATTAAAGAAAACAATATTTATACCATGTTCTAAGAACTATGCTATGTATTTTACCTTCCAAGTAAGTAAATATTCCTTTTACTTTTTAAAGTAGGTAAATGTTTTCTGTATCTGAGGAAAAGACTAGAGTTTAGAGAGATTAAAAACTCACCCAAAGTAAAAAATATATATATGGTGTCCCTAAACTCAGTCATTCTCCAAACTGAAGTCTTCTCTTTCTGTAATCCCATAACTGTCCCTTAATAAACCATCTGTGGCTAATTTATCAGGTAATTCAAGATTGAACAGGCCTTGGATGAAGTCAAATCTCCTAACATAAATGAGATAGAGTAGCTAATGATTTAAGTTCTAAAAGGACTGTTAGGAACTTGGATCTCTGTTATCTTCCATTTTCCTAATAATTGGAAGATAGAATGTAAGAAGTAGGGAGATTAAAAAAAAAGTAAAAATCATGTAAGATAGCCTCTACTATTAGAGATCATAAAATAGAAATCTATGGGATAACATGAAATGCAATAAATCTTATACATTAAAAGGATGCTCCCCCTAAATTGGTAGAATTACAAAATCTTAAGGTGGAGAAGGATTTCAAAGGCAACCTAGGCCATTGTTTCCCAAATTATGTTAAGGAAATCAATTCTTCTAGCAGGTGATAGAAGTAGGTGATAAAAGGTAGCTCATGAAAAGGAGCCTCATAGTAAAACACAAATTTGGAAAGTATTACATTCTACATCACCCTCTTGAAGATTTATAGTATAAATCTACACATTAATTCTCCTTGAAAAGTCCTCCAGTTAAATTTAACTCTTTCTCTTAACAATGGAACTCTCTTTTCTGAAGAGAGAATTAACATCCTATGAGATAACCTCCTCATTTCAATAGATGGGCTAAGACCTGAGATGTTCTAAAATTATTCATCATTTAGAACTACTTAATTACTGGATACATATAATAAGTGTTACGATAATTAAAACAATAGTAGCCTTTAGATGGGCTAAGACCTGAGATGTTCTAAAATTATTCATCATTTAGAACTACTTAATTAGTGGATACATATAATAAGTGTTACAATAATTAAAACAATAGTAGCTTTTAGAAGAGGTGATAAACTGATTATTCAACAAAAAATGCCAGTAATTTAGAAGATTATTCATTCTGACTGGATATTTAAGTCCCGATAGGCCTCCCACTCCCATACCCCCAACCAGAGATTCAAAAACAAATAAAAAACTATATACCTTATATAGCTCTTTCCAACGACTTCTAGAAGCTAAACTCTCTAGACGAGGCTGAACAAAGCGGTTATCCAAATAATGAAGAGATGTCAACATATCTTGTGCATATGATTTTTGTCTGGTGCCATCTGTTCAAGGGAACAACAGTAACAACAACAAAAAATAATCACTTAGCCCTTAGGAAATATCTATCATCTATCTATCTATCTATCTATCTATCTATCTATCTATCTATCTAATTTTTAAGCCCCCCCACACCAATGAATTATCCAGCTTCAACTTCCAATAGTACCAAGGTCGAGAAATGTTATTAGGAAATATTTAAATAACTGAATACTTAAGGATTTCGTCCCACAGTTTTAGAAGGTATTTTAAATTTAAAAAAGATTAATGAAGAAAAAAACCACAATTCCATCAGAATGTTAGGGAAAGAAAAGAACCACAGAGGCCTTCTAATTATTCCTTGACTACATCAGACTTACTCTTTTTTTATCTTAATCCCAGTAAAATTAACATACAATGTTTTATTAGTTTCAGATGTACATCATAGTGATTCAACAATGCTATACGTTACTTAGTGCTTACCATGATAAATGTACTCTTAATCCTCATTGCCTATTTTATCCATCCCCCACCCACCTCTGCTCTGATAACCACCAGTTTGTTCTCTATAGTTAAGAGAGTTTTTCGTTTGTCCCTTTTTTCTTTGTTCATTTGTTTTGTTTCTTAAATCCTACATATAAGTGAGAGCATATGGTCTTTGTCTTTCTCTAGCTGACTTATTTCACTTATCATTATACCCTCTAGATCCAACCATGTTGTTGCAAATGGCAAGATCTCATTCTTTTTTATGGCTATGTAATATTCCATTGGCTATATATATCACTTCTTTATCCATTCATCTATCACATCAAACTCACTTTACCTAAGGATCTTTGCACTGGGTGTTCTCTCAGCTAGATCTATTCATTATTTCCCCTTGAATTCATTCAGGTTTCTGCTTAAAAGTCACCTCTTGGGGTGCCTGGGTGGCTCAGTTGTTAAGCATCTGACTTCTGCTCAGGTCATGATCTCAATGGTTTGTGAGGTTGAGGAACACATCAGGTGAACTTGAGCCCTGCTTTGAGTGAGCCCCACTTCTCTCTCCCCCCCCCCCCCATCTCTCTCTGTCCCTCTGCCCTTCCTGGGATTCTCTCTCTCTGCCCCTGGCTCACTTGCACCCTATCTCTCTCTCTCTCTCTCAAAAAAAAAAAAAAAGTCACTTCTTGAGAGACCTTCTTTGACCAATCTAATAGATACTTTCCTTTCCTTTATCACTTGATCTCCTTAACTTACTTAATTTTTTCTCAAGAACTAATCCCTAGTTGAAATTATGTTATATATTTGTTTACTCATTCATTGTCTGTCTCTCTCATTAGAGCAACATGAGGGCAGGAATCTTATATGTCATAGTCATTGCCATATCCCCAGCGCTCAAATAAATGTCTGCCCCTTAGGCACTCTATAAGTATTTGTTCAATAAACTGTGAATGAAATCTCACTTTGGCAATTAGGTAGATATTCAAAACAACATATTATAGTCTTTATTAACTGCCAGATTATGTGCTAGATGCAAGAGATAAGTGTATATCTAAGGCATGGTTCTTCCTGTACTCTTAGAAGGGAGAAAGGCAAAAATACATTTTCAATACAGTAAGTATACCCACATCAGTACCACCAGGGTAGCACAAATGAGGGAGTGAAAATGATTTTACACTCACCTGGAAAATCTAGGGTGGAAAGGGATTATATTTTAAGAGAGAACAGTATGAGCAAAGGCACAAAGCATAAAACAGTATATAACTTCTGGCGAAATTCAAGTTTAGAGAGGCTGAGACAACACATGGGTATTGAACTACTCTACTGTTTTGAGTCTATGCCTTATATCCTCACAGTTACTGTGAACTCTCTAAAGTCAGAGGAACATCACATATTTCTTTTCCACTTTCCACATATCACAAATAGACAGTAGCAAGTTTTTGAAGTGAATGGGCTTCTGGTGTAGTTAAGTTGATCCTAGGGAATAATTGGAGGGCCTTTAGAATAGGGTCTCTTGGTTTTGCTTAAATGTATATATATATGTTATATTATATTATATTATATTATATTATATTATATTATATTAATTATACTGGTAGGGTTTTAGAAATTGGAAAAAGAAAAAAAGATACTAATTGTCCCACTCATATTAACTTACCATACAATGTTCCCAGAAAAGATTCATCTAAAGCATTGATCAGAAGAGCCTTCACAACTCTTTCAAAGTGAGTATAGTGGTCACTAAAAGAATCTGAAATTAATTTTAAATACATATTAGAACATAACAGATGAAACAATTCCCTGAATAAAATAGTTTCCTTTCTCTAAGAAATTAATACTATAAATAGGAGAAATCACTTAGTCATCCTAATTTTATAGCTGCCTCGGTGACTTTTCTAGTCACTGAGCAAACCTCCATTTTCCAGATTTACTGGCTTCTAATCCAAAATTTCAAGTTGTTATTTAAATTAATCTTCACTTGGGGCGCCTGGGTGGCTCAGTCAGTTAAGCGTCATGATCTCACGGTCCGTGAGTTCGAGCCCCGCGTCGGGCTCTGTGCTGACAGCTCAGAGCCTGGAGCCTGTTTCAGATTCTGTGTCTCCCTCTCTCTCTGACCCTCCCCTGTTCATGCTCTGTCTCTCTCTGTCTCAAAAATAAATGAACGTTAAAAAAAATTAAAAAAAAATAAATAAAATAATCTTCACTTTCCAAACTTATTAAGAGAAAACTGTTCAGAAAATATTAAGAGATATGTTGTGAAAAATGCCCCAAATCATCCCCTGTGCACCTAAGTTTAATTATTAACTTAATAATTAGAGTGAGAGAGCAAAAGAGAAAACTTCTACAGGTAGATTGTTCAATATGTACCTGCAACTCCTGACTTTCCTTCTTTCTAAAACATGTTACATATGAAATTGTTCAGGAAATTATTACCCTAGCCAGAACTCCAATGGCTATAAAAACTCGATTTCCTTTTCTCTGTCCCAGATTTAGGATTTTCCACATCAATTTAGAAAAGTTCTCTCTTCTCTTTCTCCTACCAAATATATAAGCCTATCTTCCCACTAACCCAATGTGCTCCATGGAATCATCTATTGTGATGGGCCAGGCTACAAGAGAAGGTCCCTGTATTTCCCAATACTTTAGGGTCCAGGTTTACTATGGCTGTAGAAATATTCTCTATCAAAGATAACCCCTTCCATGACCCAAATGGTCATCACAGAACATTTGCCATGGGCACCTATAAAGAATATTAGGGTATTTTAGGAAAAGTGGAAGATGCCTGATTATAAATTTAAGCAAAATAAGACCTATATTAGCATTCATGACTGAATTTTGACGTGCTTTCTGTTGAAATGAAATGAAAATAAGATTTAACATGGAGAAACTTTTAGCTTGTATTTTAGCTACTAAAACAGCTGTATAACCTTTTTTCTGGACTTCAGGAAAAATTTTTAGTATGCATTCTTTTTTTTTTTTTTAATTTTTTTTTTTAACATTTATTTACTTTTGAGACAGAGAGAGACAGAGCATGAACGGGGGAGGATCACAGAGGGGGAGACACAGAATCTGAAACAGGCTCCAGGCTCTGAGCTGTCAGCACAGAGCCCGACGTGGGGCTCGAACTCATGGACCGTGAGATCATGACCTGAGCCGAAGTTGGCCGCCTAACCGACTGACCCACCCAGGCGCCCCAGTATGCATTCTTTTTTAAGAAAACATGTTATGGGCGTCTGGGTGGCTCAGTCGGTCAAGCATCTGACTTTGACTCAGGTTATGATCTCACGGTTCTTGAGTTCGAGTCCCTCATTCGACTCTGTGCTGACAGCTCAGAGCCTGGAGCCTGCTTCGGATTCCTGTCTCCCTCTCCCTCTGCCCTTTCCCACTTGCGCTCTGTCTCTCTCTCTCTCTCTCTCTCTCAAAAATAAATAAACATTAAAAAAATTTTTAAAAGGAAAACATGTTATTATGATACTAAAGTGGTCAAAATAAAGCAGTGATAAAATTAAACGACTATAGCAGATAATTTACACAAGGGCATGTAGACTTTAGAGGGCCTATGATCAATTATAAATTACAAAAGAACTGATCACAACCATTTATGAATTTTTTAAAAAAATCAGAAGATAATTGGAAAATGAAATAATACTTTAATAGCATTCAATTTTGTCTAGACTTTCATCAAACTCTGGATATAATATAGTGTTGGTACATAATTTAATTTGTGAGTGTTAAAATGCATTTAAACTCTATCTAGTATTTCCCAAACTCTATTAAAGGAAAAATGTTCTAGGTATATTAACAGACATGTTGAGGAAAGAAACATCAAATTCATCCCCTGTGCTCCCAAGTTGAGCTATCAAATTGAAATAGAATTTTTTACCCCACTGAATTTATTAGTCTCCGAATGTACTAATGCCTAACATTACTCATTTGCTGTAGAGTTTGGGAACTGCTGTTTTATTTTAAAGAACCTGATGGCATTTCTTCAGAATTGGGAGTAAAAAGAAAGGACAGAGGATCAGAGTCATCTCGAGAGTTTTGCCTCACCACAAAATCTGTGTTCTACCAATTGACATCAGTATCTCCTTGAAAAGAGTCAGGAAGGCCTCAATTTCCTTGTGTTTGAGTGAATGGATGGGTGGTGGAGGAATTATGCTCCTGGCATCTCAGATTGGAAAAAAAAAAAGATTTTATTGGGCAAATAAATGGCAGGCACTGTTTTATACACTTACATGCTTTGCTTTACTTCTCAATACAAGTCTATGAGGTACTATCAATACCCTTGGCTTATTTTTAAAAGTTAAGGAAATAAATGCAAAGAGGATGAAAAATTTCCCTAAAATCACACAGCTAGTGAGGGTTGAAAACAGCACTGGAACCCAAGCAGTCTGACTCCAGATTTCATGCGACTATCCCCTAGGTAGATGTTCTGCGTGGTAGTCGGGTTTGATAATATTATGTTCAGAACACGGAATTTAGACTTGGATGGGAAATTGGAGGAAATAACTCAAATCTCTCATTTAAAAATTTTAAAAATGACACAATTATGAAATAATGTACCCAAGGTCACAAAACTAGATAGAGGAAGAATCAGGATTAGAGTTCAGACCTCCTCCAGAGTTTTTTTTTTTTTTTTTTTTCCAGTGCTTTAATCGCTATATTGGATGAGCTTCTGTGGAATATCCGAGGAATATCATTTAAAATTTTCTTCTATGACTATTAAAAAACTGCAAAAGGATACAGGAGAAAATCAACAGTATTTGTGTCTATGCATAACTTGATTTTTCCAAGGTAGTTTAATCTTGGGATAATTTCCCCATACTCAATCGTAGGATACGCTGCTCATCCTGTTGATTTTCCATGCATCTTTTATCATGTTTTAGTTTCGCATATATGCCAAGATTTTGTACCAGCACCGTGTACCTTTCTTAATGACCTGTCACTGCCATGCCAGTACTATACTGTTTTACTTACTGGAATTTTTTGATAAATTTTTATATCTGGTGGGGGAAGTCCTTCTAATTTTCTGTTTGTTGTCTAATTTTATTTATTCCCATATATTTTCCCCAAGTGAACTTCAGCACTGTTTTGCAAAGTTAAATCAAAAAGTTAATTTCCGAAGAAATAATTTCTTGTTCTATTTATTGCTTTCCAGAAACATGGTGTGTCTCTCCTTTCATTCATGTTTCCTTTGCTATTTCAATGTAAGGTTTATTCTTGTACCTATAAAGTCATGCTTTTCTTCCTAAGACTAGGCCTAGGAACTTTATTTTAATTGCTACTATAAATGGAATTGTCCCTTATTAGATCTTTTAAATAATTATTGACAGCATGTAAGAAAATACTGAATTTTACATATTCATTGTGAATCTGGTCATCTTTCTGAGGTCTTTTGCAAATTCCCAAAAGATTCTCTTAGATATTTGTGGAAAGTGAGCTTCCTGACACATCAGAGTGCTTGATAGAGGGAGATACTGTTCAGGAATTCCTGGGCAGTAACTCTGCTTTCTCCCCCAACGCTGAGAAGGATGTGGTCTTGCTAGTGCTAAGTTTATTTCAAGAACCAAGAGAATGTTTATAAATATTCTCTTAGGTAGAAGCACAGAGATTGTTGGTGTACTTTCTTCTGAAATAGAAGTATAAGCCTACTGTAAGAAAGCAGAGGCAGAGCAAGAAATTGAGTTCTCTTTCTACCCTAACATGTCCCCCTCAACAGGCAAAAAAGAACACAAGAAAACTATGGAAATATATGCTGCATCTACTCCTGCTCTCAATGTATTCATATCCTTTCTCTTAACTTTTATATCCCTGGCTAAATAAGTCAGAAACTTACAGCTTGTATGCATGTATATATAAAATCACATTATGTTCAAGTAATGTCTTTTCCATTTCAAAAGTTGTATTTCTTTTACTTTGTCTTATTACATTGTTCACAACATCTAGAACAAAGTAGGACATTTTTGTTCTTTGACAGTATCTCTAGCGCTTCATTATAAATATATATTCTCTTAATGTAAAATATTCTTTGTTTTGTAAAGGACATATGCTCATATTACTATTTTTGAGACTTATTTTCTTGTTTTTAAACTAGATATGGGCACTGAATTTCATGAGATGCTTTTTAGAATCTTTTAAAATTAAGCCATTATTTTTTCTCTTTTGACATATTAATGGAATCTGGAACCAATTAATATATTAAACCATTTTTATGGTCCTAAAAAGGATGGCTAGATAACTTTTCTTCATTCTTGTAATCAGAAAAGTTGTTTCCTTCAAATGTCTATTTGCAAATCTATTTTATCAATTTATTAGGATGTGAGCCTCCTTAATTTGCATAAATGGGCATGTCCAGCAACTCAACTGTATTTTCTCCCATCACACCTTTCAGTTCACATTTCCATATGTCCTTCCATCCAGAAACATGCTATATCTCTTAGCACTTCAAATCTTTTACATATCCCACTAAAGCTATAGAATTTTCTTCCTTTAGGTTTCCATTTATTCTGCATTTCCACCCCCCCCCTTGAAATTTGTGAAATAGGATCATTTCTATTCGTTTATGTATTATCTTCTCCCTCAGAACTGTTTTCATTTTCTCTATTCCAAAAGAACTTCTTGGATTTAACCTATATATCATTGATGATATTTTCTGTACTGTTAATTCAGTTTTTTTACATCTTTCAATATAGATTTTACTTCTGACTTTACATTTTTAATTCTCTGGCAACTTATCTTAGCCCTATTTCA